ATATCATTCTATCAACCACTACCTGCATGTCTGTGTCACCGAGGAACCTCTTCCTGCCAGGCTCCTGCCCCAATCACTCTCATTCACACGCTGCAGATGCTGGTGGAAAGGCACTCCTGAGTGAACGTGAACTACTATCATGTCAGGACTCCCATTCATTCTAAGGTAGTATTTTTTAGTCCACACTTGGCCTTAAAAGAATTATTTAAAATTTTAGCTGATTTCTGTTGGGAGACAGCTCTTCCTGGGTCTCTCGTGTTCCTGGCATGATCTGTGAATAGAGGCCCTGACAGACTGCCTGTGTTCTGGACTATCTTTTCAAACTGGGAAAACGCCATCTCTCTCTAGAAGAGAGACAGTTTTGATTACTCCCTACTATAATAAATATGTCTCCTTCCAGAGCAAAGGCACGCATGCATAATACCCATATCAAATATTTAGGTTCCCTGAGCTCTCAGGGTTCCTTCCCTATAACGCAACCCAGTGTGGGCTGCAGTCAGGGAACCAATACAAATAGTGACGCTCTGGGATATGCTATTACAGTGAGTAATTAAGTCCTCTGTCTCTGATTCAGGACACTGGAAGCTAACATAACTGGCAGGTTGAGTAAAAGCTTAAACTATTAATAATTTTTCTTTACTTGCTTTACTGGCAGCCTCCGATACTCTGCCAAAGGTGGGATGGTTCATATCTCCTGTCTTTCCTTGAAAGGAGGTCTTGTCACTCTGACTTCAGTTCCTTTGGTTGCCTTCTCTGATGGGTATAAGAAAAGTTATTATTTTTTTCTTGTTAGGGTGGGAGTAACATTCTCTTGCAGCTTTCTACATCTTAAGTGGAAGCACAGCTCCCAAGGTATACCTACTATTTGATTACTTTCTATTACCAAAGACAGGCACTTACTGATCTGTAAACTCTTATTGTTCAGCATACAAACATGTTTAATTAGCTCTTAAAAGAAGCATAGCTTGAGGGATGAACTCCAGGAATTTTGGAAAAACAGCTCATGAAAAATTTCAACACAAGAGCTGGAAGCAATGGCCCAAGGATGTTTACCTTCCAGCAGGTGTGGCAGGAGAGACAAAGAATCTGACAGGTGAGTGATGAGATATTATGAGAAATGTACATATGCACTGGCCAACAAGTCTTTTAGAAGATTGGGGAACATACAGGAAAACTACAAGCACTTGGGCGAGGAGACAGGGCTCTTGAAGCTCTCAAAAATGGGCAGGAGGATGTGACAGGAAGACCTGAAAGGATACGAAGGACAGATGGAAGAACAGCAAGTGGTGTTGTAAGGACAACCTCTCCACAGTCACACCTTTTCCTCCCCTTCACATTCATTCTCACTTTTTCTGGTAAACAGAATCTAGATTTCTTTTGTGAAACTTACCTCTTCTACATTGTGGAAGTCTGCTTACTCTTCCCCTAACCAACTTTCACAGGACTCCCCACATCAGAGAGGATTAGAAAAATATTTGGAACTAATTCAACACTGAGCTGTTAGTTCCTGCTATATAGATCCTTGGTTCCTATCTTTGCTTAAATTTTCTTCTAATTCCGTTAATTACCCAATACAGTCGGCCCTCCATATCCATGGATATTGCATCCACGTAGTCAACCAACCATGAATCAAAATTACCTTTTTAAAAACCCCAGAAAGTTCCAAAACACAAAACTTATATTTGCTACACACTAAGCACTACGCTGAATCCACATGATTATGTGAAGTGATGTGTAGGCACACCGTGCTGTAGCCTATGTGCAAATATAAGTTATATGCAAATATAAGTCATATGCAAATGCTATGCCATTTTACACATGGGACCTGAGCATCCTCAGATTTTAGTATTCGAAGGGAGGGGTCATAGAACCAATGCCTCTCAGACACCAAGAGATGACTGTATTGCCATTTTGCTTAAATTAACCAGGATTGAATCTGTGTTGCTTGCAACCAAAGAAAACCAACAGATACAGGGTATATGTAGAGAATATGAAAGTAAACTAAAATCCATATACTTTTTAAAAAATATTTTAAAACCGTGTATTAATAACTGTCAAAAATGTTGGCTTTAATACAGTGACTAATCGATTTCCTGTTTCTTTGTGCTTGTAATTAATAAGCATTTTCTAATGGTTAGGCTGACAATGTTTTATTATTACAAGCTATATTTAGAGTTTATCTCATATCTCCCATATTAGAAATAAAAACAGCCCTGACCGGTTTGTCTCAGTGGACAGAGCGTCGGCCTAGGGACTAAAAGGTCCCAGGTTCGATTCCGGTCAAGGGCATGTACCTTGGTTGCGGGCATATCCCCAGTGGGGGGTGTGCAGGAGGCAGCTGATTGATGTTTCTCTCTCATCAATGTTTCTAACTCTCTATCCCTCTCCCTTCCTCTCTGTAAAAAAATCAATAAAATATATATATTTAAAAATAAATAAATAAAAACAAGTCCTAGCCAGTTTGTTCAGTCGTTAGAGCATCGGCCCACGGAGTGGAGAGTCAAGGGCTTGATTCCAGTAAAGGGCACATACCTCGGTTGCAGGCTCAATCCACGGTCCCAGTCAGGGTGCGTGCGGGAGGCAACCAAGAGACATGTCTCTCTCACACTGATGTTTCTCTCTCACCCCCTCCCTTCTCTCTCTAAAAAGCCATGGAAAAAATATCCTCAGGTGAAGATTAACAAAAAAGAGAGAGGAAGGGAGGGAGGGAGGGAGGGAGGGAGGGAATTAACTGAAATAATATACATTACATGCTACAGGAGAAAAATTGAGGAGGAGATACTGAGAGTAGTAGCAAATGACCTGTTACACTAAAATTTATGCATTTATTGAAATTGAGCTGTTTGTAATTTTTTTAAAATTCCTGTTATGAAAGTCATTTGTACTAGGTAAACCATATGTGGAGAAAATTTCAAGCACAAGATATACCAAGTATGTAGTATAATGAGAAATACAGTGGAGCACCAAATAGGATGGTCTCAACAAATGTCTCAAAAATGCATAGAGCAAAATTGCGACGAACTACTGCTACAAACAGATAAGCCCAACAAGTGCTGTTGGAATGAAAAATTATTTTTTTTGGTTAATCACACCCTCTCGTTATATAAAAGAGGTCCAATGGCCTGGGAGACCACTTGATTTGTTCAGAGGATAGCTTGCAAGGATAGATTTCACAGAGGGTTCAGATGAGGAAGCCTCTTTTATTTATTTATTTATTTATTTATTTTTGAGGAGAATGACAGAATGTTAATTCCTATTTAATCTGAAATTTAGCAATTATAACTTGTAGAAATAAAAGAAGGTTAAGAGAGATCGACTCAGCAATTCCACTTTGGAGAATATATCCTAAAACCCCCAAAATTCCAATGAGAAAGAATATATGCACCCCTATGTTCACAGCAGCATTATTTATAATAGCTAAGATTTGGAAATAGCCCAAGTGCCCATCAGAAGATAAATGGATTAAAAAAACTGCGACAAAAGAGGAACCAGGGAGGCCAGAGTGATTTTTAAAAAATACATGGTATCAGGTCTGGCCCATGCTACCCTCTAAAGGTCAATATTGCTGACTTCTTAATCGACTTTGATTATTAATAATTTGGGAACAGACTGACATACCTCAATGTGGGGCTGGGGGGATGAGAAGAGATAAACCAAAGAACTTAGATACTTATAGGCATAGCCCATGGACATGGGAAATAGGGTAGTGAAGACATGGGGAGGGGAGGGGCTGGGAGAATGGGGATAAAGGGGAAGAAAAGGGGAGATATCTGTAATACTATCAATAATAAAAAGTTTATTTAAAAAGTAAAAAAAAGATTCTTTTACAGATATATTTTATATCTATGAGAATTATATTATATATAAGAACTGTCATATATTCTATTATATAATATGCCTCTCTATATATAGAATATATAATAAACCTAACACAATATATATTATATTGTGATATATAATATATCTCACTCTGAGTCCTTTTTAGGGTTATGTTATTACTTTTTAAAAATATTATAAACAGAATTTATAAGATAAGGTTGTGTCCAGATAATAATCAGAATAAGACCAGCTAATATTCAAGATTTTTTCAAACACAGTAACTGAGTAGAACCAAAAAATTCAGGGAGCCCACTCTGCTATGGTTAGTTTAACACAGGGTTACTTAATCTTGGCACTACTGACATTTGTGCAGGATAATTCTTTGTTGTGGAAGGCTGCCCAATGCATTATAGGGCGTTTAGCAGCATCCCTGGCCTCTGTCCTCTAGATGCCAATAACACCCCTAATCAAAAATGACTCTCGACATTGCCAAAAGTCCCCTGGGGGCAAAACTGCTCCCTGGTTAAGAAACACTATAGTTTTAACATCATGAAAACAGAACAGATACAACTGCCAGCTGTATGATCCCACTGTGGAGTCAACTGTGATTAAACTAGAGTTACATTTATATTTTAGTTCAAAATACATTAGGCTAGAACTAAGTTAAATTAATTATACCAGTTCTTGTCTAGCGCAGAGCTGTCCGATACAGTAGTTACCAGCCACATGTTGCTACTGAGCACTTGAAATGTGGCTACTCTAAAGTGAGCCGTGCATTAAGTATACAATATGCACTTGATATGAAAAAAAAGAATGCAAAATATCTCATTTTTATGTTAAATGAACTATTTTGGTTATACTTTCTCGTGAAATATATTATTAAAAATAATTTGACCTGCTTGCTTTTACTTTCTTTAATGTGGCTACTAGAAAATTCTAAATTACAAATATGGCTCATATTATAGAAATTTGAAATAATTTAGTATTATTTTTTAATGAAATAAATTCTTAAGCCTATTAAATAAGCCAAATAGATCTTGGAAAGCTTTCCACAGCCCTACTGAATCAGCTCATTTTTGAACATCATAACTCTTATCACGCCTAACTGATTTTTCTGCTTTAAACACATTACTTCTATTCCAGTGCTTTATTCCCTATAATTCAATCCGTTCTTTTCTTACTGCTGATTTATCTTCAGGTTGTTTATCATTCTCCTGAATGTCAGTTTCTTTCATATACTCAGGACCTTTCCTAGTGGGATGTTGAGATGCTGCAGCATCCATCATACGTAGAAAATCATAAGCAGGAAGAGGAGGTTTCCATTCCTGAGCAGATAAAATTGCTAGAAAAAAAAGATACAATCAAGAGTTAACGATGAACAGATAAAAAAAACCACCACATAAATATACTTAAAAACGGTGTTTTTGAAAAAATATATTTTTATTGATTTCAGAGAGGAAGGGACAGGGAGATAGAAACATCAATGATGAGAGAGAATCATTGATCGGCTGCCTCTTGCTCGCCCCCTACTGAGGATCGAGCCCGCAACCCCGGGCATGTGCCCTCAACCAGAATCGAACCTGGGACCTTTCAGTCTGCAGGCTGACGCTCTATCCATTGAGCCAAACCAACTAGGGCAAGAAAATGTTTTATTTTTAAAAATATATTTGTAGAAGTGAAAACTTTATCACTTTTACTTACCTAAGCAAAACTATTTATTTTACTACATTGTTTAAGAAACTTGATACACTCCTCATTACTAGCCAATCTATTATTTATATTTGCACACTATAATATTGTAAATAAAGTAAGGAAGAAAACAAAAGGTCCATAATCTCCCTGCCAGTTAATCCTGTTGAAGTTTTAGAAAACAGTAATATGTTTATGAGATTATCACATCAATAGGTACAAGTTAAAATGAAAAGGTTTCTTGCTTCCCTGCCCACCACTGCCTTTATCCCAAAAAACTGGAACTGTTCCTTATAAATGATTCAAAAATAAATTTTTGGCACATGCATATTTACTTCTTATCTAGACAAGGATTTCCTAACATTTTAAAGCATTTTCCTCTTTTGAAGCTTTTAACATCCCTTGTACATACTTCATTTTATAAAAATAAATATAGACAGTGATAATTAAAAGTTGTTATGGAATCAACTGTACTACAGACAGATGGATTGAATAATTCTTAGATGGGCTTGTCATAGTGAATCTTAGCACCATTTTTTAAATTGAATTTATTGGGGTGATATTGGTTAATAAAATTATATAAATTTCAGGTATACAATTCTATAATATATCACATTGTATATTGTATTGTGTATTTACCACCCCAAGTCAAGTCTCCTTCCTTTTAAAACATTGGTCATTAGAAGAGGAAAACTGATTTGAGCTTGATATCATAATATATGTGATAAGATGTATATGAGATAAATTAGCTAACTTTTCTCCATTTAGTACACAGATCCTACAAAACAATTTTAGAATTTAGTGGTCCATTTAAAATACTATTTTGAGAAATGAACTATATAAGGAAATATGCCAAGTAAACCTTTTAAAAATAAATTTCAGTGAAAGAATGTTACATGAAAAAATTAGCAATGTGACAAAAGTAATAAATGTCATAAAATACAAACTTAAGCATCTCTCATAAATCAAATAAATATATTTAAACGCTTAAGAAATTCATTTAAATTCTAATTTCCTAGAGTGGATTAAAGTTCAAAAAAAAATCTGTACATATGAAGTATATCTATACTCATTGGTATATAATTTGTTCAACAGGACTTAATTATATAAAATTCTAGTACCTGGGACATCAGCAGGATATTAAATGTAAGCTACCCCTGTAATTTCCAATTATTGTTGCCAGGTTAGCAGATACAAAAATGATAATCGGATATAATATTTTCTTGAATGTAATGAATAGGAGATAAGACTAACTATTTGTAGTTTGCAAGATGCAAATAAAATATCTTTACTAAAGACATTAAAGTGTCTTTAAGAAAAGTTCAAATTAAAGCATAGCACATATTTAGCAGTATTTTAAAAAGTAAACACTGCAGCCTAGTGGTCTGAGATGATGACAAAACACCTAAAACCAGGTATCACAATTCTGCTAGTTATTTGCTGGGGGAATACTACAAAGGTGTTCAACTGCAAATAAAACTCTCATTATATATGGGTAATAGATACATTATTATCAAACTAGTAATGATAATAATACCTAGCATCTATTGAGCCTTTACTACATACCAGGCATTATCCATTTTAACCTTACAACCCCATGAGGTAAGTATAATTATTATCCCAGTTTTATAGATGAAAAAGCCAAGGCCTAAAAAGGTCAGAGAACTTGATCAAAGTTAAGTGTAAATCCAAACTAAAATTTTGAAGAAATTAAGGTGAGGCAGACACCTGTGGCACCATTACAACAGAGTCAGGCAAGACCCCCATTTCAGATCCCTCTCCCACAGAGTGGAGAGCAGGCCCTGCCAGCACAGAAGACAGGACCTAATAAAACAAGTACTTCTTCCCTGCTGCAGAGGCTGCAGGAATAACTCAAGCATAGGAACAATGATAGAAAGAAATAATGGAAACCCCTCAAAGAGTGAGCTGGCAAAGGCATTCATCCAAATTGCAATGGAATGCCCAGCTGGAGTGGCTCAGTTGGTTGACCATTGTCCTGTGCACCAAAAGGTTGCTGGTTTGATTCCCAGTCAGAATAATGGAATATTACTCATCCATAAAAAGGAATTAACTATGGATTCTTGCCATAACATGAATGATCCTTAAAATTTTATGATAAGTTATTCCATTTGTATGAAACTTCCAGAATAGGAAAATCTATAAAGACAAATTAGTGGTTGTTAAGGGGTGGAAGGAGGGAAGAATGGGGAGTGATTGCTAATGGGTATAAAATTCCTTTTAGGGCGATGACAACAATATAGAATTCAACAGTAGTAATAGTTGTACAGCCTTGTGAATATACTAAATATCACTGAATTGTAGGTTTTAAAAGGGGGAATTTTATGGTATGTGAATTATATCCTCTATAAGAAATAGCTAATATGCTAATTAGACCAGACAGTGGAACAACCTTCCAAAATGATCAGTGGGCAGGGCCGCAAGACAGCAGGAACTGCAAGGGTTGAGGCAGCTGGGGCTGTGGGGGCCAAGCCCCTTGAACGAATTTCGTGCATCAGGCCTCTAGTTTCAATATAAAAATACCATCTATAGGCTACATAAACATAATAATTTAGTTAAACTGCCTAATTTAACAGAACTGAAGCAGACCACCTGGGAAGAACAGGTGTGCTACAATGACTAACACTTAAAATAAATTCAAGTACCTAATTAAATATACACAAATATGCATAATGGTATACTCATACCATGCATGCTAGTTAAGAGACAATATCACACTAAATGGAGTTTGTACACCAGAACTTTGTTTGTGTACATATACATATATTCACATACACAGACACACCCCTTACCCCCTTACTTCAGATTTCTATCATGGAACAGTGTCAAAATATTATTATAATATAGTTTATCTGGTATCCAGTAACAAAATACTTGAATAGCACCTGAGGAGACTCAATTATATCAAATTTCACACTATTTCCTCAATATACTAAGGATCTAGGTTATTACACATTAACTTACTTAAATTATAGCTACAGACCTGTTGTTGCCATAATTATATGTAAATTAATATATGCACCTATACCACAAGTATAAATTCACATGTTTTAGAAAAGTAGAAACTATAACATATCATAAATACAGTATCATAAACCCTAAGCCAGGAACTACTTTCTTATGGTTCAAAATTCTGGCTCTGGAATAAAAAAGAGACAGGTTGGAATCCAAGCTTCCTCATTTACTAGTTAATTATATGACTTTTAACTAGTTCCTTAACTTTTCTACAAGCACTACTACTTTATGTGACTCTTGTGAGAATTAAATGAGATAATGCATGTGAATAACTCAGCATTGTGCTAGACACCTAGTAAGCATTCCATAAATGTTAGCTATTATTACTAAATTTAATACAATGGTACTTATTTTCTGTGAGTATTAATACCTGTCACATAGGAGATTGTCCCATGCTATCAGCAAATTAATATTTAGGATACTTATAAACATTTACAATTCAACTAATTACAGTATTCCTTAACTATCGTTCAAGTTTAAAAATCTATGAAACAAAATACATAATGGTGTGTATTAAACAAAAGAGAAAACTTACTGATATGACTTTCTAGGCCGGCTTCTAATTTCTTAAGCCACAACAAAAGGTTTTGCTCAGTTATAGCCTGGTCTGAAGGAAATGCAAATACGTGGCCACCTGAATGCAGATTCACCACAACAAGAAGAGGAAGGGGAGGTAGAACTTCAAAATACACCTGCAAGATTCCTCTCCCCACAGGAGTGTTCTTTCTACGAAAGAGAGCAATTGAACATGCTAATTAAAATTTCTTTCTATAACAAAATAATGAATAGTTTGTAGAACATTAACCTTTAAATATAGTTTCAAGCCAGTAAGTTTATTTTATGAAAAGATGTCCTAACAACTATGAGGTCTATAAGCATGTTATTAGTAATCAGAGTCTTAAAAAGTTTCTTTTAAGATGGGCACTGTGTTTCTCTTAGGAGGAAAAAAGGCAACCAATGAGAGCTTTAATGAAAAACAGGCACAGTCCAAAGGCTTAACAATTTCAGCTTATTATCAATAGGTTCCTTCCAAGTTTAGCCAAGTATCTGATCACATGTCAGTTCAAAAATTAAATGGTTACAAACTACAAAATAACAAGATACTTATAATACATACTTCTTTTTTCCAAATAAAATTGTTTTCTTGGGGAATAAGGAGAAAAGATTAACTTCAAACTAAAATTATCTTTTAAATTATGTTCACAGAAGGAAACCATAAGTTTAAGATACCTAGTTTTCCTAATACAGCATATTCCACATTATGGGAAATACAATTTTACTCTGAGATACCTACAGGTACCTGAAAAATTCTGTCTCATGCAGTAGGTTGTACTGTTTGAGAACTCTTCAACAGCAAAAAATGTACACTGCCCCATTCTTGTAATTTTCAAATGAGTCAAAAATAAAATGTCTTTCATCTGATGAATTTGAAGAACAGTGTGTATATTAGAATATGTGAACTATATAAAAATACTTCATGTAGCCGAAACCGGTTTGGCTCAGTGGATAGAGCGTCGGCCTGCGGACTGAAAGGTCCCAGGTTCAATTCCGGTCAAGGGCATGTACCTGGGTTGCGGGCACATCCCCAGTAGGAGATGTGCAGGAGGCAGCTGATCAATGTTTCTCTCTCATCGATGTTTCTAACTCTCTATCTCTCTCCCTTCCTCTCTGTAAAAAATCAATAAAATATATTTAAAAAAAAAAACTTCATGTAACACAGCCCATACATCTAGAACACATTCCAGGAAATACTGTTTGTGAATACACTGAAAACTTTCTATAACATTTAGGCTGCATTTCAAAAATAGAGAAGTACAAAAACAGAAACTGAAGGAAAATGCCAAAATATCTGTTTATTTTTCTGTATTTGCCAAAATTTTATCTAGGGACATTACTTTTAAAATCAGAAAAATTACTTTTAAAAATCTATTGTATGACAAAAGCAAAAATAAACAAGTGGGACTACATCAAACTAAAAAGCTTCTGCACAGCAAAAGAAACCAACAAAATGAAATGGCAACTTTCAGAATAGGAGAAAATATTGGCAAATCACACCTGATAAAGGATCCAAAATAATTGAAGAACTCATAAAACTCAACAACAACAAAAATACCCGATTTTAAAATGGGTAGAAGAATTAATTAAACATTTTTGCAAAGAAGACATATAAAGGCCAAAAGGTACATGAAAAGATGCTCAGCATCACAAATCAAAACCATGAGCTATTTATTACCTGCCACCCGGAAGAATTAATTAAACATTTTTGCAAAGAAGACATATAAAGGCCAAAAGGTACATGAAAAGATGCTCAGCATCACTAATCACCAGGAAAATGCAAATCAAAACCATGAGCTATTTATTACCTGCCACCCATTAGAATGGCTATTACAAAAAAGACAAGAGATTACAAGTGCTGGTGAGGATACAGAGAAAAGGGAGTCCTTGTGCACTGTTGGTAGGAAAGTAAATTGGTGCAATAGCAAACAATATGATGGTTCCTCAAATAATTAAAAATAGGACTAGCATAAGATCCAGCAATCCCAGTTCTGGGTATGTATCAAAAATAAAAATAAAAACAGAATGTCCAAGAGATATCTGCATCCTCATATTCATTGCATTATGAATAAAATGTGGTATGTGACTGTGTGTGTGTGTGTGTGTGTGTGTGTGTGTATATCCCTAATATGCAAATAGACCAAATGGTGGAATAATCGAACAACTGAACAACCAGCTGCTATGATGTGCGCTGATCACCAGGGGGCATGCGCGGAATATGGTGGGCGTCAACCGTGACAGGATGGTGGAGCAGGTGAGCGGGGGCACCAGACCAAGGCAGGGCACCGGTTGCTGTCATTGGGGCAAGCCTCTGGTAGTTACTGAAAATTCTTTGCTCCCACCTGGCGCTCACACCTGCTGCTGGCGTCAGCCCCGATCCCTCGGCACCATCAGTGGGTGCAAGCTGTGGCTGTTGGCCCCAATCGCCCCTCAGGGCTTCTCCACCTCCCCCAGCTCCTGAGGGGCGATCGGGGCTGGCAGCTGCCTCTCACACCTACTGCTGGCGACAGTCCCACACGCACCCGCTGCCAGCACTGTAGCTGCCACTCGCACCCACTGCCGGCGTCGGCCCTGCTCGCACCCACTGCTGGCACTGGCCCCAATCACTCTGCGCTGTCAGCGGGTGTGAGCAGGGCCAGTACCGTTAGCACATGGAAGCAGCAGCAGCAGGAGCAGGGCTGCCGGCAGACAGGGCACTGGGGGCCGTGGCAGGAGAGAGGCCGGGCAGGGGCGTGGAGGATGGGCCGAGACCTGCCCCTGTGCCCACCACAGCCTTGCAGCCCACAGTTCCTTTCAAGGTGCACGAATTCATGCACTGGGCCCCTAGTATGTATGTATGTGTGTGTGTATGTGTGTGTGTATACAACACACACACACACACAGAATATTATTCAGCCATGAGAAAGAAGGAAATCCTGCCATTTGCTACAACATGGATGGAGCTTGAAGGCATTATGCCAAGTGAAATAAGTCAGGCAAAGACAAATACTGCACAGAATCACTTACATGAGGAATCTAAAAACAAAACAAAACAAAAAGTCAAACCCCTAGAAACAGAAGAGAAGTGATTGCCAGAGACTGAGAGTTGAAGAAAATAGGGAGAGGTTGGTAAAAGGGTACAAACATTCAGCTGTAATATGGTCTGAAGCTCTAATGTACAACATGGGGACTATAACTGATAACACTATATACAATAATAGAAATTTGCTAGGGTAATTAGCGTACGACCGCTACCCTTCAATTGGCTAATCAGGGAGATATGCAAATTAACTGTCCTAGTATGTATGTATGTGTGTGTGTATGTGTGTGTGTATACAACACACACACACACACAGAATATTATTCAGCCATGAGAAAGAAGGAAATCCTGCCATTTGCTACAACATGGATGGAGCTTGAAGCCATTATGCAAAGTGAAATAAGTCAGGCAAAGACAAATACTGCACAGAATCACTTACATGAGGAATCTAAAAACAAAACAAAACAAAAAGTCAAACCCCTAGAAACAGAAGAGAAGTGATTGCCAGAGACTGAGAGTTGAAGAAAATAGGGAGAGGTTGGTAAAAGGGTACAAACATTCAGCTGTAATATGGTCTGAAGCTCTAATGTACAACATGGGGACTATAACTGATAACACTATATTGTATAATTGAAATTTGCTAGGAGATTAAACTTAAATTTGTTCTTATCCCTCCCCCAATGTGTGTGTGTGCATGTGTGTGTAAATAGGTGAGGTGATGGATGTGAGAATTAACTAGATGGAAGAATCTTTTCACAATACATACATATCACAATACCTCAATAAGGCTGAAAAAAACCACAGAGAAAAAAATTATTGTAGAACAGAATTCAGTCTGAAAGAAGGTCATTTTAGATCATCTGAGAGAGTTTAGTTATTAAAATATCACAATGACATGTACATTGGTCCCAAAGTATTAACTTCAAAGGTAGAGTTTAGAGAGTTTCATTTCCTAAGGAAAATATAATAATTACACTTTCTTTACCTTTTACATATTAAAAGTTAAAAATATACTTACAGATTTAACCAACAAGGGATAACTGAATCCAGGTGTTTCTCTTTTACCAGTGTCAGCATTGCCTTTTGATACTGAGGGTTTATGATGCCATCACTGAATAAAATAAGTAATGGTTTCTGAAGCCCTAAATAAGTGGGAAGGTTTTCCACAGTGATTTCCGGCTATTAAAAAAAAAAAAGGGAGAATGATGATGCATACAATAAAAAATACTGTCCAAATCGTTCCTGCAGTTTTAGTTTGTAAAATGTAATTCAAGCATATTACCATTTAAGTGATTTACTATACTGACTAATAACTAGAAATCTCAGGAGTATTTTTTAAGCCAATTTTATCTTAATAAAGTTATTTTTAAAATAAAACTACTAACAGAATTTGAAAATAAATGAACTAAAAGGAGCATCCTGTTTTACATGTCAAATTATTTCTTATGCTAAGATCTAGACCAGAGTAGACAATGTACTCATGACAAACAAAATTTGTATTTTTATCAAACACAAAATTTTTGAAAAAATATAAGCTGAGTTTTAAAGATATAATCTTTTAACATTTGTGATTATTTAAAATAAAAATGTTATTGTGTTTCAATATTATGGATTTTAGCATAATTAAAATAATAAAAAAGCTGTACATTTACACAATGGAATACTACTCTGCTGTAAAAAAAGAATAAAATGTTATCCCTGCGACAGCATGGATGGACCTGGAGAGCATTATTTTAAGTGCACTAAGCCAGTCAGAAAGAAAAGTACAATATGATTTCACTCATATGTGGAATCTAATAAGCAAACTGAACTAACAAACAAAATAGAAACAGACTCATAGATAGAGAGCAGGCAGACAGCTCAGGATGGGGGAAGGATTGAGGAAAAAAAATTATGGTCATGAATAAAATTTCCCAAAACAGAACATAACAAAAGAAGAAAAAAGCATTGAGGATGTAATTCTAGAGTGGCCAGAGAGCTGAAGGAGTATCTGGAGAGAACTGAATTATAAAAGCCAAAGGAAAAGAAAAGATTTTTAAAAGGAATGGCATAGTTAACAGTTTTATGTTTTTCCCCACCCCTCTCTACCCTTCCAGCCCCCCTCTCTCTCTTATACAAAGTTTTGATTGCTACTGAGAAGCTAAGGAGAAACAGAAAAGGTCATCAAATGTGGTCATTGGAAGGTGACCTTTACCTATCTGACTATGTAAGAGGCTATAATTGTGTGGGTTCTGGTATTCTTATTCATAGTAAAAGCATAAAAAGAACTTAAGGAATCTAAGTGTGAAAGTGTGGGATATATCATTGCTTATATAGTTACTAGAGGCCCGGTGCACGAAAATTTGTGCACTCGGCGG